ACTAGTGTTGGATAAGAACACTTGTTTTTTTTATAGAAAATGTAGTTCGACAATAAGTGGCAAAATAAGAAAATCAAACATCGATTCTTTAACTGTTACAGCAAGAACACGTATAGTTTTAATATTTTTAAAAACACAATAAAATTTAAATATTCGAGCACATCGAAGAACACGCAATAATGCAAAACTATTATAAATATTAATATTTTGATAACCGAATTGATTAACAAGATTTATAATATTAGTAATATAGAATGGAACAACAGCAATTATATCAATCCAGTTCATAAATTTCTTGAAATACATAGATAATGATGGTGTGCTAAATAAACGTAGAAATAGTTCAATAGTAAAAAATCCAATACAAATCATCTGAATTCGATGAAATGATGATGAAAAATAGGAAAGACATATGCCTTCACTCGATTGAACGTTACTGGAATTTATTGAGTCATTGTTCATTTCAATATTATGCTGATTATATTCTTTTTTACATGTATCTTCTAATAATTGAGAATATTGTGGCAAAGATTCAAGTGCTAATGTAATTGTAGAGATAAAAATAATAATTAATGATAGAATATTAAACAATTTAGCAATGAATGAAAATTCTGGATATTCTATAGTAGCCCAAATATACCGACGACAACGATTTCGAGGTAATTGAGCTTTTTCAACCTCTTTTAAATTTTCATCCTTGCGTACTTGAGAAAGTGCATCTTGACCCAAATCAAAAAATGTTATTTCTTCAAGAAATGTATCGAGTGGTACTGAATTCGGTCGACGTAATCGACCTTTTGATTGATAATAATAGAGAATAGCTTCAAAACAACCTCGATGACGATCGAAGAAATATTCATCAAGAACATTATCATAATAATATTTACGTCGCTTTGCATTGCCTAATAATGTATTTGGATAAACTTCTAGAGTAGATTTTCATGTTTCGAAACGAACTCCACTTATATTAATGATAATACGATTTTGAAGTGAACTATCCATAGAATTTTTTCGTTTTCCAGCATCGATTATTTGCTGATGGGATAAATCTCGCATATCGATGGTATCTCTAATAAATCAATCATCAAAAAGAAATTTGTAAATTCTATGCAAAGTGGAAGAAAATGAAACAGTTCATTGATATATATGAGTGAATTCCTATTTTTTTCGGTTTCATTGAAATTTTAGTTATATTTGGCGAATCATTTTTGTTTCTATTAATCAATTTTTTTATAGGTTACAGATCACTGAGTATCCCATTGTCATATCAAATCTTTAGATCATACTATGGCTAATTTATGAGCTATATACCAAAAGAAAAAAACGAAATTTTTGAAACATCCCAAGAAAACAAAAATAAAGGTATTGGAAAGATATCGATGTGAAGCTAGCACGACAACCAATCAAAATCAATGTAACAACCGACCAATCAAAATCGGTCCATGTTTTACCGCTGAAAATCCATATACTACCCGCACTACTTTCCTTAGCAACCAAATACAAAAAGACGATAAAACCGACAAAACTCATATTTCCGTGCGAAATATTCATCAACACTCCAAAGAAAACCTGAGCTACATGGATCACGTCGGCTTCTCAAATTAAATCAAACTTTGTGAATCCTTCCTCATTTGCAACCAAACAATGAAAAACCCATTCGATACAGAATTGAATTCTCTACAAGATCGTACGTTCATTATAGAGAGCATCGATATCCGGAGGCGCCTTCCGACAGAAAAAAAAGATCTCACTCACATTTCTTCGTGGGCGTGTTCCGAAATCTCAACAGCTNTAGACAATGATGGTGTGCTGAGTAGACGTAGAATCAGTTCAAGAGTAAAAAATGCAATACAAATTATCTGAATTCGATGAAATGGTGATGAAAAATAGGAAAGACAAATGTGTTCGCTCGATTGAACGCCGCTAAGAATCATCGAGTCATTGTTCGTTCCAATTTTATGCTGCAAATATTCTTTTGTACATGCATCTTCCGATAAATGTGAATATTGTGGCAATGATTCGATAGCGAAAGTAATCGTAGAGACAAGAATAATAATTAATGAAAGAATATTAAACAGTTTGGCGATGAATGAAAATTCTGGATATTCTACGATAGCCCAAATATACCGACGACAACGATTTCGAGGTAATTGAGTTTTTTCAACTTCTTTCAAATTTTCATCTTTGAGTACTTGAGCAAGAGCATCTTGACCCAGATCAAAAAACGTGATTTCTTCAAGAAATGTATCAAGTGGTACTGAATTCGGTCGACGTAATCGACCATTTGATTGATAATAATAGAGAATAGCTTCAAAACATCCTCGATGACGATCAAAGAAATATTCATGAAGAACATTATCATAATAATATTTACATCGTTTTGCATTACCTAACAACGTATTTGGATAGACTTCAAGAGTAGATTTGAATGTCTCAAAACGAACTCCACTTATATTAATAATAATTCGATTTTGAAGTGAAGCATTCATAGGAACTTTTCGTCGTGCAGCTTCTACTATCTGCTGATGAGATAGATCTCGCATATCGATGGCATCCCTAGTAAATCAATCGTCCGAGAGAGACTCGTTAATTGCTTTGGAAGTGGAAGAAAAAGAAGCAGTGCGCATGTATAGGAGTGAATTTCAACTTTTTGATGCAATTGAGATTTTCGCTATATTTGACTAATAGCTTTTGTTTCTGTTAATTGATTTTAACATTTTTTTTTATTGATTACAGGTCCCTAAGTGTCCCATTGCAATACCAAATTCCAGCTCTTTAGCTCACACTATCACTGATTTATGAGCCATGTACTGTTGAAAAAACTCGTCTTTTATAGTGAGATGTAGTAAAACAATGAAATTGTTGAAACATCGAAGGAAAAGAAATATAAAATAATGAATAGTGCAATTTGTGGGACGTGCTATGTTCGGTCGGAATACATATCTTATTCACCCGTATTCTTATTTTTCTATGATCTTTCATCCATGACATCCGATGAAATAGATTTTGTGATTTTTGTATAGAAGGACACTAGTTCAATTTTCTTCTAAGGCACACAACTGATGAAAGATCATTTCGCCTAAATGATTTTTTTGTCTGTGAAAAAAAAACAATGTTTTACTATAAAATCGATATTCACTCACTTTGTAAAAATATATTTTGAAGACGACAGTGTAAATAGCTCGTGAATGGCTCCATTTTTCTGGTTCAAATATTTATTGAAATTAAATTACTTAGAGTTGTGTAGTCAGTTAAAATCTCAGCTTTGTATCTTCGTTTCGTATGAAAAAATTAAGAAAATATGATGCAATGTATAAAAATATTTTTCATTAAATTAACATTTTTTTATGATGCATTTACGTTGAAGTAAGTTGAATCTCAGCTAATATCTGAGGAAGGGTTGGAAACTTTTGCTGTATAACATAGATATGGAGTGTTATAAAATGAACTGGACAAAAATTGTTTAGATGTACTTGCATTTTTTCCCGTCAATTACACCAAAATGTTCATTATTCACTCATATACAAAAGTGTGAGTACAACAAAAGAAGGACATGAATCTCATCAACGATTTAGACTACTTACGGACTACGTTGATGTAAAAATGTTTCATTCGTCTTGAACATTTTTTGACTCCGTCTGAATCGATATATAAAAACCAAGAAATATAAATGAGTCTTGTTACAGATGCGTACCTTCTTAAACTGCCAAGAAATCCACGATCGATTGAGGATGATTTACGATTAGCAACATCGACTTGATTTTGATGATGCGCAGATTGTGACGTGTCTGATGTGTCCATATTTCAGTGGTCTATAAGAAGTATGAGCATGGGGTGAACAGTCGATCAACAAGCACTATTTGGAATAGGTGAAAAAATCTCGAAAATTTAATCATCTTCTTCATATCCTTGTCGTGTAACACATTACAACAAAACATCTATATGTTAAGTACTATCTAACATACAAGAATGAAGAAGAATTTATGATGATCAACCCAAAATTTCGAATGCTAACATGATATATTTTGAGATTTTTTTTGATAAACAAACTTATTGTGCTTGAGGTCAAAATATATTTTAAGCCATGAAAAACTGGCGGCTTGATTCTTTATTACCATGGGTGTGGATGTGTAGTTTTTCAAAAGAGATTCTTTGTAAATAAACACTCAGCTATTTAAAAATATCATTCGTTGTAAAGATACTCAATGTAATATACATTTCTAATTTGGAATACGCTTCAATGCATTATAATATAATTGCAAACTTATAAGTTTTTCCTAAGTCGAACAAAATAAATACGATATGCTAAACAACATAACAAAAAAGTAATTATGGTCTAAATCAGAAAACTTTTAATTTACAAATTATACTCATAACAAATAATGAGATCTTGATTAAATATAAATCACTATCCATTAAGCTGATATTTTCATCAAGATATTTTGTCAGTTCTTACCTAAGTCTGCTCTTTGCTGCTCGAAAACAATAAGTAAGGCTAAATTAGACCCCTAAATCTAATTATCAAAACAAAGAAAATTTATTCATTAGTGTTGCGAATGATTGAAAGAGATGATCCGTGTTAAA